ATGTCAGCCTTCTCAAACAAAGCAAAACATTAATGTTTGGGACCTTGTTTGATTCCTTTTAGGTTTGAACTCATGATAATCTGTGCCTTCTTGTTTTATATGTAATGTACAATTACAAAATAATAGCATGAGCTTTTATTTATCTTTGTTACATTGTATCTGTTTAATTTATCTCTCATGCTAGCCTGTTGAGATTATTTTAAATTTTGATTCTTTTTTTCAGTCTTTTTATATTTGCTTTTATTACTATTTTTAATTGACACATAATAATTGTACATATATTTGGGCTACCGTGTGCTATTTCAATACATATAAATAATATGTAATATCAAGTTAGAGTAGTTAGCATATCCATCACCTCAAACATTTATCATTTATTTGTGTCGAGGACATTCTTCAAAAATTTCTGATTATTTTTATTTGTCTCTGCAGCCTTTGGTCTGAAATTCAGTAATCATATATTCTATTTCTTCAAGTCTCAAAGTTGTAAAATTTTCTATATAAATGGAACCTAAATTATCATAAAACTCAGCACCCTTGTTTTAGGGGTAAGGAAGCTTAGGTCCAGACAGGGTAAATAACTCTCATGTACTTTCACAGCTCATCAACAGAAGATTATAAACCAAAAAATGGAATAGTGCATACATCTGTGAACAAAGTCTGAGACACACATATTCACCAGGAGCACTTGGTGGGCACTAGAATATTGAACAATATACTTGGAGTATAATTATTCAGCTATAACTGAACATGCATTACCCTCTGTTATACTCACAGGTATTGACATACCTTGACAAAATCTGAAAGACCTTAAACACTATCAAACAAAATAATGGAATGACTTGTTTTTAGTGAATCACACTGGCTACTTGTAATAAACAACATTCATTTCCAAGTCATTAGTAAAACTATTTGTATAAACCAGTATATTTTTCAAATTTGTGGTTTCTATAATCCTTTTGAAAAAGAACATTTTCCTACTTCCATTTTTCTGCTATTTCTATTTTTATTTAATAAATCAAATTGAGTAATATATTTAAAGACAAATAAATCCACCCATCTTAAATGTGTAAGTGTACCTAAGTAACAATTAAGTCAACAGACTGTTTAGAAAATGAGAACAAACTGTGATGCTATTGCTCTTATCAGATGCAAATGTGTAGTTTTAAATGCTTTTATTGGAAAAGAGAGAAAATGAAGAATGAGTAAGTGAATGAATGAACTAAGCATTCAATTTTGGAGAATGCAAGGAAAAAAATAAGAAAAATATAAATTAGAGTATAGAGAAACTTAAAATAAGTTGAAAACTGATTCTGTAACAAAAATATAAACAAGCATCTAACAAAATTTGAAATAAACAAATATTAGATATTTAATATGAGTTCTAAACTAAATATATAGGTAAAAAGGAGATAAACCAGGATGTCAAGATTTAGATACCAGGAGAGAAAAGGTTGTGGGTAATTGTTACAGAGGTGATAATAAGATAATGTTTTTTTTTAAATCTTCAGAACGATTTTAGAAGTTGGATGAAACAGATCATGTCTCTAGCAACTAAGAAGGCATTGGAGACTCTAAAAATTCTTTCAGTAGAGAATAGGTCAGAAAGCCAGGTTGCTTTCTGGCTCAAGTGGTAATAAGAAGCTAGGAGGAGATAGCTGAAGTCACCCATTCTCAGAGTTTCAGAAATTGAACCAAAGGAGCCCAATGGTGAAATCAGGTCAGAATTAGGTTCTGGTACAGGTATTTTGAAGAGATTATTTGAGCTTCAGAAAATGCCCCTGTTGATGCTGACTTAACCTCCTAAATGAAGTGCCAAAAGTAAATTCTTAGCCCAATTTTAAAACAACCTCTCCTAGATGGTGCTATTTTTAATAACAATAAATAGACATTAATAAAAGCCTTCAGTTACACAGAATTCATTAGATTTGATATTCATTGTCTTATTAACTCCAAATTCTTCTTGCCATTTATTTCAACACTGTTTACACATTGCATTCCACCTTTAATCCAGTTCAGTCCCCACTGTCCATCAGATCTGTGACAACTGCATTAATTTTCATTAATTTAACACACATGACTTAATAGTACATATCAAAGCCAATAATTGTTGGAAGTTGTTTAATATTCCATTTGAAGAATGCTGCTACTCATATTTTAGATCCAAATTAGATAACTGTGGCATAAAAACTGTGATACCTTGAAAAAAACAAACAAACTATGAGCAGATTGCTTTCCCTAGAAGTACACGCTTTATAGTTGCTTATATCCTAAAACTACGTATGGTCACCTTCAATAATTGTTTTGAAAAGAAAATATTGTTCTGGAAGCCATGAGTAGTAGATGAGGGAGTAAGTGGTTTAAAAAAATTCAAAAGAGGAAAACTATGTTCATCCCCTTTTAAGAGCTATTCAGATGAAAAATTGCTTGGCATAAGCTTGATCTATATGTTTTTCATGGTTATTAGTAGTAATGAAGATACATTAACCATAATCTCTTGATAATGCTCTAGCAGTTTCTTAGTACTTTTATCAACATATAAATTTTACAACTGGCAATCTGGGAATTTGACTAGTACATTTTTGTGTATAAAAGAGGCTAACAACATTATAACTTCTTCATATCTGTGAATTATGAATCTTGACTTGCAAACAAGCAAAACTAAAATGCAACAGAACTTCAAAATCATGATAACTCTTCTTTCTACTACCACTCATAAGAAATAAGAGTGCATCCAGGATGCTGAGTAGAATATAATGCCAGAGGTAAATGCCTCGTTAATACAAAATTTATGAGTTCTTTTCATTTCAGTCATTCTCTTTTTTTTCTCAATAAACATGTATTGAGTGCTTTCTTTATTGCTAACCTATGGTACTTATAAATTGACAATGTTCTACTTCATTTGGAAGCAGCTGAAAAATGAAAGTAAGTGGTGCATAATCACTGTATATATCTTTATATCCATTAGGAAACATTATTTTTAATAATTTTTGGAAGGACATTAAATAGCTCAAGTCTTTAAAGATGAAACTTGATGCCAAAAGAACCATTTGAAATTTTTCACACTTAATTGAGTTATAAACGAATAGATCTTTCTTTTATGAAACTAAATTCCATGTTTCAAATTTGATTTGTCCTATCTGCAAAGCAATGTAAGTCTTCAATACCTAGCCCATAACATTAGCTAGTACCATTAGAGAAAACTTTACGAAAGAAGGTTTGTGTTCTTTCCCTTTTATTCTAGAACTATGGATCAATTCTGTTTTAGAGTGATACCTAGTTAATGCTAAAGATTTGGCTGTCATATAAAAAGTAGAATTACTATATAAGTGCTGCTAGGTGGATCTGGAAGAAGGAAATGATAGTAAAATTCAGTTTAATTAAAAGCAAATAAGTGGATCTCTCAAAGTTGATTTTCGGTTTCCCACCTTTATGAAAAAGAAGCAAAAATATAAGGAAATAAGTTTCTATTAATGATTTGGTCAATAAAAATGCAAACTTTGGTATTGTCTTAGAGTTGTGCTACTTCTTACAACTAAAATAAATTATAATCATAACTGGTCTTCAAGATAATTCTGAATCATCTGGGGAGTAATTGTTCATTTAACAAATGTGTACTTGGTGCCCTCGATTTGTCAGACATGGTTACAACACAGATACCAGTGAATCATGGAAGGCAAGAGAGAAAGTATAGAAGGGGGAGAAGAGTGGTTAAGGGAGTTGATAGCTGCTGAGAGGTAGAGTCAAATAGGAACAGACCTTTGGATCTGCAATGCAGAAGTCACTGGTGACCTTAAGGAGTGGTTTTAGGGCAATGGCAAAGAGGCCACCACCAGAGCTTAGTGGACCAAATACTGAAGAAGCAGAAGTAGCAAGTTAAGGTAGCTTGAAAATACATGTGAGTAAGGAAAGAAATGGGATGGCAACTTGAAAGGAATGAGGGTTCAAAGGAAAAGTTAGTATGCGCACATACACATTTACCATGGCCGTGTGCTAATGCAATGATGCAGTAAAGGAGAAGATGATGATGCAGGTGAAAAGGACACAGAAGCAATAATCTCAACATGTCAGAGATTAGATTTAGATCACAAATAGAGAAGTTGGTCATGGCTAGAAGCAGGGACTCTTCTTCCACTGTGACAAGGGTATATAGATGTAGCTACCATTTAACAAATATTTGTAAAGCACCTACAATGTGCTAGGCAATGGCAATATAGCATTTAACAAAAGGACAGAAGTCCTTGCCCTCATGAAACTTATATTCAAATGGGGATTGGAAGAGGTAGACAAATGGTAACCAAATAAGTAAAATATATGTTAGATGATGAAAAATTCTTTCAAGAAAAATAAGCCAGGGATATAGGGAAGGAAGATATAGAGTGCTGGAATAGGGATAAATGTGGATTGCAATTTTAGTGGACTGGGCATTTGACATATATTTATGAATCTATTTCATGACTCTCAAACACATTTATTTCCAAAATCATATTAAATAAGCCCCAGTACCTGTGTGCCAAGGCTTGTGGGAAATCTAGTCCCAGCCTCATTTCATAGGTGCCCTCTTCTGTGGGCATCCAGGACTTGCCCGCCCTGTACCTCTCGTTAGTAGTCCATATCACAGGTTTTAAACATTTTTTCATTTATGCAGTTACTTGATTGATATAGTTATTCCCTGCTAGACTAGCAGCTCCAGGAGGGGAACTATGGCTATTTTGAGCAATTATATCCCCAGAACCTAGCAGAATGTTGCCACATAATCAGCCCTATTTGTTGAATGAATGAATAAAAAGTAATAAGACTTTTTTCCATAAGCCATTTTTTTAAGAATCTCATGATTTTATGCTATGGGCACTTTAAGTTTTCACTTCTCACTTTATGTAGCTAGTAAATGGCTTTTTTTACTAGCAAGGATTGTTTTTAAACCAATGGAGTATGTGAAGTAGAGTCATCCTCTTCATTTCAATGATATCTTTCCACTTCTTTTTTTTTTCTACTTGCAGGACCAATACTAAAGGTGCTCCTCTGAATATAAATAAGGTCTCTAATAGCCTGATAAATTTTGGAAGAAAGTTGATTTCCCCAGCGATGGCTCCAGGCAGTGCTGGTGGCCCTGTACTAGGGGCCCAAAGCAGTAGCTCCTCCTCCGCTGTGATTCCCGCCAGGACTTCAGCAGAGGCCCCAAGGCATCACTTGCAGCAGCAGCAACAGCAGCAGCAGCAGCAGCAGCAGCAGCGGCTGATGAAATCGGAAAGCATGCCTGTGCAACTGAACAAAGGTAGGAAAAAAGTGCTAGTAAATCTAAAGAAAACTTTCATGGTTATTGCCTGGAATTTCCTCACCACCTTATGAGAATCAACCTCCTAGAAATAGAAATGAATGCAAAACTTATTTTTTTAAATCTGTTACATTTGATCCTTTTTATGTTGGAATATCAGATACTGTATTGTTATTAATTAAAAACATTTTATGAGGTAATTTGTTAAGGGCTTGTTTTTTTTAACACTTACGTTCTAGTATACTTGCAATTATGTCCTGTGGGTGCCCGTATAGCATGATGACATGAGTTAACACAACACAGAACTTGAGATCAGTTGACTCTGTTCTCTCCTAATTCTGTACAGGAATGCTTCTGCCTAGAAGAGAGTTTGAAATGGGAAGTTCAGATACCATGGGCTTTCCTAGTCATAAATTCATTAGTGCAGTGCACTAGGGTTGTGGTCTTGCATCCAGCTGCTTCACCTCTAAGGAATACAAACTAGAATCATAAAGGGAGGAAAACATCTAAACTATCTCAAGCAGCCAAAATAAGTGTATGAGTCCATGCAGTAAAAGTTAGAACCGCAGAAAGTTAGAGCAGAGGAAACCTGAGAGATAATCCAAGTGAAATATCTCATTTGATGAGTGAGGGGGCACTGCTGTTGGTACTGCTATTGGTGGCACTCTTGCTGCTAGGACTCAGGTGAGCTCGTTTCTTTTTGGGGGCCATTCCAGTGCTTCACCACCCTCATGTACTTTATTCATAAGAGAGCCTTTTAGGGTTCTTACTCAAATTTTTATACTTCTATTTTCCACCTGTTTTTAAAGTGACATAATGTGTTAGGTCACCCTGTTCTGAACAAGATTAGAAACAGCTACATTTATTTTTAGTGGTGGGGCTCTGCTAACTATACTATAGAAAAAAGAAATAGTAATATGATAGCAGAATATATATGAAAAACAATCCTAAAACCTCACAAAGCATAGCAGTCTGGTGCTATTTAATGTCAGAGCAAACATCCTGACCCAAGCCTCATTCATGTCTTAAAGGGATCCCTCTGTTACATCATTGTTTGGTAACTAGTATTGACAATAACAATAGTAATATTGTCAGTAAGAAGAGCTTAAACTATGTTCCATATACTCCAAGAAAATTATTAAAAATTTTACATATGGCATTTAAATGGGTAAACTTAAGTTAAATGGACTTTATTCCCCAGTGATGAAAAATGATGAGCATTCTTTAATAATGAGTGTATGTGTATGTGCCTGTATTCTTCTATTAGTTACATCATGTTAACTATCTTTTCTATTTTCTTTGCCTATGTGAAATATTAGATTTTATATAATTAGTATTTAAATTTCCATTGGAATTACCTTATATATGACTATCTCATTGAAAATTACATTCTTTTTGATGTAGAGCTATCACACATGATTTTTTTAAAAAAGGAGACTTCAAATCATTAACATGTTGTAAATGTATTTTAATGCCAGGAGGCATGCCCACTTCCAGAATGGAAATGAATGTTATTTTATATATTTCTTAATTGTACTGTTTTATTGTTTTAAACAAATATGATTTCAATATTGCTTTGATAACAAGCTGTAGTCAGTTGTAATTCTAACTGATGGCAGGCAAATGAGTCAGAGAATCTCTTAATGTTGTAGCTTAAATTTTCTGAGGAACCAAGCCAAATGACTATAGAAATATAAAGTTGTATCTCTAAGGAAATGTCAAGTATTAATATCACAGTAAGTGAGAAAGGAAGTGCATAGAGATGCAACAATTGATGAAAACTGAGTCCCCAGTTATAAGGAGACAACAGAGCACTTAAGCAAAGTATTTGGAACATGAATCTCACTAGGGCATTTTATAACTGATCCCTGTGCTGAAAGGAAGTAGCCTTGTTTGGCAACCCTTTTATATTTTTATTTCTGATTCCTTCTTCTCATGTCAATCTACCAAAAAAGCTTGTCAGACCTTCATATTAAAGATGAATATTCCAGCTAATACCCCTCCCTGCATAAAGGTTTGAATAAAATAAAGGGCAAAGAAAATAGTTTAGAGAAGCAGAAGATATCGTGGTCTGATACTCTTCCTTCACACACCCACTGACGAACCTAAAGGACACCCTGAAGCTCTCTGACCCTTTGTTTCCTCTCTGTAAAATAGCAGGTTTGAGCTGATCCCTAGGGAATCTCCCAGCTCTAAAAATCTATGGTTCTTTTGGTAAAAGATATATTTATTAACTATACAATGAAAAATATTTCTCCATCATTGATTTTTCATGCTGGTATTTCCCACAAGTATCCTGCTGTGCTGTCACACTGACAAATCTGCAAGCATGTCACCTGGCCCCATAGATTAGTGAACACAATATTTAGCCTGTCAGGAGGCTCATGTTGGGATATGATTTCTAACTATCTCGGAACAGAATCATCTACTTAGTGCCTCTGAGGAAAGATAATGTAATAGCCTTTTTAGTGTACTCTGCTGGAAAATTTGAAAGTTGGTTTGAAAAATGTTTGTTTATAAAGACAAAACTGTTTATGGTTTTCATAGATTAGTTAACTCTCAATTATTTGTGCTCCTATGCTCATATAGGGGGACAGTTGTATTTGTAACCCAAGTTCATACATGTTGCTTGAAATGAGTTTAGTTTGTGTGTGGGGGGGGGTGGGATAATGAAAGAAAGAAGCAGCAGCACAGATGTTCCCCAAAATTTTCTTGAGGATATTTAATATTAAAATGAGTTTCCAGTCTCTATATATTATTACATATAATAATAGGTGATCTAGAAGAAGCAAAGTAAAATGGGTAGCAGGCATAGAAGTGAAAATCTCCTTCAAATACATAAAAAGTAGGCATACCATTTATCAGTGAATTTAGAGTAAGCTATATTATGAAAATCTGAGGCCTATTTCTGCTAAAAGCTGTTTATTATTTTTTGGGGATGTATTCCTATTTATAGATATTATTTCAATTATCGAAAACTGTAAATATGTACTGTTAATTGATAGGAATGATATAATTACAACCCACCAATTTCCAGATGAGCTGGCCGTGCTATAAATCTTAATTATAGCAAGTGGTCAGGATACTGAGGGCATGTTATTTGATTCAAAAAATGGGTTTTTTTTTATTATACATATTATATAAAATCTAAAGGGGAGGTAAGTCTATTAATCATAAATTATTATACATAGAAAATATGGTATTTTTAAAAAACACTTTTTCTTTAGCTTGTTATTCTCAAAATGGCATATGTCTTCAGATGGTGGTATCTGCAGAGGATTATTCTGTTGACAATGACTGTACTCAGTGCTGATCTTTGTCATCCAGGAAGGAAATCGAAGAACCGAAAAGTCTTCCTTCTAAATGTTAGAGCACCTCAAGTTCTTCACAAGATTTCCTGTTATGCTCCTTTTCATTTCTTTCTTGTGTTCTTAAAATGCACTCGGTTTTTTTTCTTTCTGTTTCCTTTGTCTATATTTTTAATTGCTTTTTAATATGAACACATCTTTATTTTAAGCACTTACTATAAGTCCAATTTGTAAATGAAATCTTGCCTATAATAAGTATATCAAGTTAAGGGTATGCAGTTCACAGATTTATTTTTACATGTTGACATTTATAAGTACATGTGGTAACTTATGAAATCGTTTCATTACTTAATATGAAATTATATCTTATTTAGGTTTTTATCTTATCGTTGAAGAAGTTGGTTTCAAGTTTAGTTAAAAATAAATTTTATCTTATATAGGACAGAATCAATTTCAAAAGAATACCTATTTTTAAATAAACAACATATAGCTTATGTTTGGATAAAAAAAATTTTTCAAAATAAACTATAATATCACACTAATATTTGTAGCATCATGAAATCTGTTCAGCAAAATCTTTCTATTGCTAAAGTTTCCTATACTTGAAACTAGTAGAAACTTGTTTATGTTTTAAGAAAAACAAACACAAAAGCTTCTTAAGAAACACTCTTAAATTTTATTTCCTTTAAAAATATTTTATATTAAAATATTAAGCACCACGAAATCTGCTCAGCAAAACCTTTTGATTGCTAAGGTTTCCTATACTCTAGACTAGTAGAAACTTTCTTATGTTTTCTTTGAGCAAAACAAACACAAAAGCTTCTTAGGAAACACTGTTAAAAATTATTTCCTTTAAAACTATTTTAATTTTTTAAGCTTGTGCCGTATTTTTTGTTGTACTATATTTTTAATAATTTGATAAAAGTATTACAACATTGAGTATGAAAGAAAAGTTATTTCCTTTTTGTGAAATCTAATTATTTTTTCTTATGAAATCTAGGAGATGTAGTTACAGGAAACGATGCTCAGGTTTCTGTTCCTGTCCAGACGCTAACTGACCTCCAAGGTACAGTTACCATAGCAACATATAGCGTCTCTCTCTCTCTCTCTCCCTCTCTCTCTTTCTTTCTCTCTCTCTCTCCATCTCTCTCTGCCTACAGTATTATAATTGCCTACTCCAAAACTCCATTTTTCCTTTTGCCCACCCTTCATTCATAGTGTTTTCAGTTCATTACCATTTTTCAGCCACTGAGTGGCACTGTTGTTTAGAACAAAAATCCCTACTCATCTCATATCTTGGTGTTGCTGAATCTGGCTGTGATGTGAGTTTTCTATTAAGTGTGCACAGGCCTCTTTCTTTGCAAAATATGATTCATCCTATATTGTGTGGTTATTTTAACACATTACACTTTGTGTGGCAGCTCACACTAAGGTGTTCTTTTTGTTACACAGGTGCAGTATTTGACAAATTAGTTCTGAAATAGATAGTTTATTTGCTATGATTAGCCAGAAGTACTTATATCTTACCTAAAATGATTACATCCTGATTTTGAAATGTTTTTAAGTATAGCCTTTGAATTATATTAGCACAAAGTGTGTTGTATGTAGCAAATCTCCATATACAGTAACTGGCAATGGTTTATAATAAAAAGAACATTTTAATATCATATCCATTTGTTTAAAATATAGAAAAAAACTGTTTATTTAAGAAAAACAAAAAGTGATAATCATATTTACTACCTCCTGTGGAATTTTAAAGCATGTAAATATTTAACATTGCCACATTAATCTTTTATTATGCAATCTTTTAGATGAAATATGCCATAGAGAGGATTTCTGTATTAAATAGAAGCGTAGACTAACTTTAAGAATCTTCTAATCAAATTCAGACTAAAATGATAGCAGTATTAATTTAAAAATTCATATCATATTTTTCTTAATTTAAAATGTCCATATAGTATAGTCATGCTAATAGTATTAAAATATTGTTTTGATAGTGATATAAATAAATGCAAAAAAGGATTGTGATTAAGAGATTATGTATTGGCTTAACTTCAAGAAAAAAACCACACTGAGGCAACAGAGGAGTGTGCTTTCACTTCTATATATAGTTCCATGTTTCACAGGTACAGTTTCTGGCTGTATTCTGGTAATTGAACCAGATGACCTTTAAGGGCTTTTCTAACTCAGGGATTCTATGAAGAACTGTTTACTCTTCTTGGTGTCTGTTAAGTGATGTACGTAATAAAGGGGTATAGTAAGTAGCATGGAAAATAGAAAAGGCAGATAATCTCTGCATGATTTCTCTGTAGCTTTGCACTTTGATGAATATTAATGTGATCATCTGATATGGTGAGAATTCACAGGACTTATATTTGTTCCCTAAAATTGAATTCTGAGCCCCATAGACAACGTTTTAACAAGTGTTTAGTTGTCTCAGAGTTACTTACTACAGAGTAGATCTTTGGCTTCTCTGCAAAACATGGGCTATGGAGCCCAATTTATGTCTCTGGAAAGAGAGAGCCGAGGATTGGCTTGCTTATTCTGACTTTTGCTTCGATGCTATTGCTCAATCTATTTTTTTCCTATAGAGCAGAGCCATGTGAGCAATGTTACTCTCTTAACAGAACTTTGAAGAGGGAGGTTATATCATTTTGTTCAAATAATTTGTGTTATATTAGTAGAATCATCTCATTCATCTACGAGTATTTATTGTGTGCCTACTATGTGCCAAGCTCTGTTTTCATTGTCCCCTTGGATTTCCCTGCAGCTTTATCCAGTTGCTTGATCGTTACCTTTGTTTTACATGACCCAGTGAAGCCTGCATAGTCAGGAACCAGCTCTTTTTCTAGATGCTCTGTTCAGAATCCCCTCTGCCTCCCACACTCTGACAGAGATTGTTATCAGTCTGATAGGGAAAGTTCCAGCTACTTTAATAGAAATGAGTCACAAATAAACAGCTCTGATCTATGGTAATGATTCTGACAATGATGAGACAACGAGAAGACACTTACCCTGATTTGGAGAAGTTACTTTTTTGTTTTCCTCAACATACTTCCTGAAGAGTACCAAGAAGCAAAGGGAAGTAGAAGTAAACCAAAATAGTTGTGGCAACAAAAACCTTTCTATCTATGCTTAATCAGATCAGTAATATTAGAAGTTGGAGAACTTCATCAGAGGTGCCAAAGATATTATTGTCACCTGTTTTTCAAGAGTAGATACAATTTTTAATTTCAGGGAATTAAACTATTTATATTTTTTCAAGCATCTTTTTTCAAAGTAAAGAAGTAAATTTCAAGAAATTAAGTAAATATCAATACTTTCAATGATTCTTTGATCATATATAGTCTTTTTAAATAAGATTTTATGTCTGTATCTTTGACTTTTAACACACAGTAGTTATATGGGATCTAATTTTTTGAGGAAATAACCAAGTATAAAGTGAAGTTCTACAATTTAGGTCAATAAGTAATTTTTAGAGAATTATTGGGAAGTTCCATTTTATATGTTACAGTGTAGGTTGCAGTCATAAAAAAATATGCCACAGCAGAATTTGTTTTTCAAAGACTTAATGAGTCTTCAAAATTCATTTTGAAAATTGTATACCTACCCCTAGAAACCTTTTTTAAGAGATATTTAGGAATTTATTCTCAAATCAAAAAGCTTTAAAACACAGGTATACACAGAAGACACACACATACTTTTTCCAAAGAGAATTAAGAATTTATTTAATATAACAACAGAAGTACAGTCAACCCCCTGTATCCATGGTCTCCGCATCTGTAGATTCAACCAACCACAGATTGAAAATATTTGGAGGAAAAAAAATTGTTTCTGTACAGAACACATACAGATTGTTTTTCTTGTCATTATTCCCTAAACAATACAGTATAACAGCTATTTACATTGTATTAGGTATAAGTAATCTAGAGATTACTACAAGTATAATATATGGGAAGTTGTGAATAGGTTATATGCAAATACTACTGCCATTTTATATGAGATTAGAGCAACCATGGATTTTTGTATCTGCAAGGATTTTGGAACCAATCCCCGTGGATACTAAGGGGCAACTGTATTTAAGTATAATCATATAATGGGCCTTAAAAAAGAAATTTTGATTTCTTAAGTAATTTCTATAGGCATCTTTAAAATTTATATTTATATATATGTACTTATGGATGTGAATACAAACATGTATGCATGGTTATTATTATATCACCAGAGTATTTTTAAATATAAAAAGGATTAAAAAAAGATCAAAAATCTTCCTGCCCAGGTAATCACTGTTGATATTCTTAAGGTAAAACTAAAACACATATAACATTAGATGCTTTCAATTAATTAAATGTATTAAATGAAAAATGGAGAGAGGGAAACTCCATTTTCTCTTCTTACCTCTTTCTGCTAGCCCATTTCCCCAAGGGTAACCACTGCTAAGTGGTTTCTTATGATCCCTTCCAGGAAAGAAAAAATACTTTTTAAATTGAGGACTACTGTGAGAGTCACATTAATGTGATAAGAGCTCACTTGTATGGAAATAACTTTCCCTCTAGACCATCAAGAAGCAAGCACCAACAGAAATGTCCCAGCGCAAATGACAAGCAGCACATTGGTAGGATGAGGAGAAGGATGTCAAGTCAACTACACTAGGACGGAGCAATGACAAGAAAAAGAGCTCCTCCTCACAAGAGTGAGGGAAGAGACCAGAAAGCAAGAAAATGATCCTCATGGATGACACCGTATTTGCTGCTCTCATTGTTTTTGAGAAGTGCTAGACCTAAGGCAGAATAAATAGTTCCATTATGTTTAGTATAATCACTTTAAGGCAGAGAAATATATGTAAAACTAATTTGAGGAAGCATCAATTAGAAAATGCATTTTTGTGGAATGACTATTCAAAAAGACATTGAATAAATGAGTTGTTTTTGGACTGAGAACAAGATCAGAATTTGCCCTTTACTTTCAAAAGGCTTCATTCTATTTTTCTTTAATCTAATTTAAGGTTACATTTACTACAGCCCACTTGGCATATCCCTTATTAGGAAGTGACACGGCTTTGCCCAGCATAGGCTCTGGAGTTGGGCCTGGGTTTGAATCCTGGCTCCATCACTGTCATGCCAGATGACCCGGGGGAGGTTCCTTAACCTCTTAATTTTTAAAGAGAGAATAGGAGTGGCTACTTCAAGGACTGTTGCAGGACAATACCACAGCACCTGCCCCACAGTGAGGGTTCTAGGGCGCTACGTACTCAGGGTAGTAATGCTGATGGCAATACCATTAACGTGTTTTTCTCAAACACTATAATTTGATTCTGGCTTTTAGAATTAAATTCTCTCTTTTCTTAATTATCACTTCCAATATTCTAAAAACATATGTTTGCTTGCAAGTACCTGATCCAACAGTGCTTGACTTCTGTGTTCAGGCTAGACTCAGCATGTCTATTCCAGGAGCTTCCAATACAAGCTGCTTCCATTCGCTGTCTTGTAGTGCCAAGATGTGTGTCTTTATGAGTAGACATCAGCCTTCTTGCTCCATCACTCAAGTCTTCAAGGTAACAAAGTGTTACTAGATAGGGGCCCAGATGTCTCTTGTTTTCTTCTGGTCACTATATCAAGTCAAGGTGATCCCCTTTCTATGGCTACAACACTGGGGTTCCCTGGCTTTTTCCTTTCTGCTCTTCTGGGCTGTGCTTCCCCATCAAGCCCCCCTCCCTGAACCCCTCAGACTCCTGAACATTTTGCCTTTGGTTGTCCAGTGTCCAACTCCCTCAGCGAGTCTTTTGTCTACTGGTGTCCTGCCTATCTTTTTAGGAATATACCCAGCCCCTGTTCTTACTTCCCACTGGGTTTAATAAGAGAAAAGCCATGGAAATATTATATATTTATGTGATATGGTTGGAACTTAATAAATACTCTATTCCCTCCTCTTTCCTTCCCTCCCACCTTCTCACTGATGCCTGTGAAGCTCATTCAGTCAACTTAGGCTCTTGACAAATAGCCTCCATTGACTTGGAACACATGGGACACAATCATTATTGAATGTTTCAGAGGGATGGAGAATGAA